ATAGGTTACACTTTATTTTAAGGTATCCTTGTTACAGTGTAATTATACATTTAAGTAATGAGTACTATTAATTAACTACATGTAGTTAGGGTTAGGATTTGGCTTAGGGTTACTTGCATGTAAACATGCATAATTAATTGTTATTATAATAGTAAGTACATGCAATGTGTAACAACGACACCTTAAAATAAAATGTTACCAAATTTTGTGATGTTCAGTACTTCATAACAAAAAAATAATAAACATTATATAGACATACATGCATACATAAACAACCAAAAATGACAAAAACACAGAAAAATTGCTAAAACTTGAACTAAAATTAAAAGGAAAATGGAAAATATAAAAATCTCTATATATAGATATAATTAAATAGATATAAAATTTTATTTTGTCTATTCCATTTATTGTCTCTATTTTTACATTATTGGTTCATTATCATGTTTCATTATAATGTAATTTGTGAGCCTGCAGCACAAAAGCAGTGTTGAGTCGCTGGGGGATATTTGTAGCAATAGCCAACAATACATTGTATGGGTCACAATTATACATTTCTCTTTTATGCCAAAAATCATTAGGATATTAAGTAAAGATCATGTTCCATGAAGATATTTTGTAAATTTCCTACTGTAAATATATCAAAACTTAATTTTTTATTAGTAATATGCATTGCTAAGAACTTCATTTGAACAACTTTAAAGATGATTTTCTCAATATTTAGATTTTTTTGCACCCTCAGATTCCAGATTTTCTAATAGTTGTATCTCAGCCAAATATTGTCCGATCCTAACAAACCATACATCAATGGAAAGCTTATTTATTCAGCTTTCAGATGATGTATACATCTCAATTTCAAAAAATTGACCCTTATGACTGGTTTTGTGCTCCAGGGTCACATTTATAGAAAACAAAATGTAATTTTTAAAAGTATATCATATAATGTGTGTATATAAATATAATTTGCAAACTTATAAAAATCATATTAAATATATTAAATATAAAAGTGTTTTCCTTCCTTTGAATGCTGTCAGTGTTGCAGAAAGGACATTGTTCACTTTCAATCGTCTCCTGTATCAGATCAGAGCAGACCGATAGTGAAGTTTAGACACAATGCTAAACGAGTTCATTAATCACAGCGGCATGAGAAACAATCACGTTTGCTTTCACTAATTAGATTCGGACCGTCATTCTAGTCAACGATCATCTAAATCACATGAAGGCTTTGTGTTATTCAGCAGCTGCTGCACTGATTTCACTGCAGGGAGGACTTTCACATCATAAAACCAGACAAACATCTGCCTTTAATAGCCTTTGTCTTTGATTATTTCAGACGTTTCGCCCGGTTTGAGCCCAACGGATGCCAGAACATGTTCAAGATAACACAGTATTATTTCTGTCAGCTTGTTTTATTACACTGATTTTGATTTGTATGTCCGACCTTTTTGATGTAACATTAAATAACACCGAAATATCTTTCCATGCATTCGTTCCAGACTTCAAAAGGTCCAAAACACAAGCGCTTCAATTTGTGCATGCTCACTTTCATGCATTGTAGTGCATAATGTTTATTGATTCCACTAAAACAGCATAACCGAGAGAGACAGAGCTGAATCAAACAAAGATTCTGCTCAATCATACATGCATTGCATTGGACTGAAAAACAATTGTGATCAATTTGTTTCCAGAGCTTTCTGTTCCAGTTTAACCTCCGCATGCATTCGGCTGATGAGAATCAATGATCAGAACAGAGTTTAAAACATTAGAAATACAATGCAAGCGTAGCTGCAGCTAAAGTACCTTGACAAGTGTTTAATTATCTTCTTTTATTACAAAACGAGTGCAGTGTTCAGCATTGAGGCAGTGAAAGTGTAAGACTTGAGCTTTCTAAATTGAATTAATTGCTCTCTGGCTGTGCGTGTAATCTTCCTTTTTCATGCTCTGGAGTTTCTTTTGTTGGAAAAGTATGAGTAAAGACTAAAAATTATGGCTAATTAATCTCCTGCCGCCTGTATCAATTACTCGGCCTGATCTCATTTCTAAAAGCGCAGGATTACGCAGTCAGCGGGAGTGCTTTAATTAATTTTTTTAAGTGATTTAAATTGTTGCTCTGGTGGGGATTAAGTTTTCTTCCCAGCGAGACTCTGTTTTACACATGCAATATAAGTAATGAGGCTTGCAGTTTTTTTAATACATAATTTAACACGTATAGGGGGCAAATCAGCATAACTTTACATAATTGTTTAATCATCATGAGAGTTTGTACCAGATACCCTTTTTTAATTTTACTTGAGTAAATGCAAAATCAGTGCAAACAAATCAGGCCAATTCGCCAATAAATCTTTTGCTGCGTCCCAATTCGCATACTATCCGTCATAAATAGTAGTCAAAAATATAGAACTAGTATGTTCCAAATCATAGTATGTTTAAAAAAGTATGCGGAAGATTCCCGGATGGTCTACTACTTCCGGTTAGAACTGTAAGTGCAGATCGATGCACACTCTAACGGCTAATATTGCCCACAACACATTGCGCGGTGGACGAGGATTCAATTAGAACTACAAACACGCATTAAAAGTGTTCAAAACTACAAACATGGTGCATATACACGACCAATGGACAGGTAGATAAACGGATTTGAGTGATAAATAGTCAATGTCTAACCTGATGAAAAAATATAAATGTAATGTTATCCACGTTATATTTCATCTGCGGCAACACTGTGAACTTTTATAATGACACATTTGCGAACTGATTCAATAGGTTCATTAAAAAGAATCAGCTCATTTAAGAATTGGACATCACTGTCGTGTTTTATTAAAGGTGTATTTGAAATGAAAATATGCAATTAAGCCACATGATTATCGCACCAATTAGTGTAATATTTTTTTTATTTTATATTATATATTTTCATTTTATTTTATCTTAATTAGTTTGTATTTATGATTTTGATTTATATTTATTTTTTAAACAATAACAGTTTTTATTAAAATCATTATTTTATTTTTAAACATCTGCAACTGAATAGTTCAGTGGAATTTGTGAACCGATTCAATAGGTTCATTGAAAAGAATCAGCTTCTTCATGAATCTGGCATCGTTATCATGTTTCAGAGCGTGTCTCTATTTCTTCAGTTCACAGTAACGAACGATATGTTTTTATGAAATCTGGTGGAGTAAAACCTACAATATTATGCTTTGGAAACCATTTTTCTGTTTGGTACGATACAGTGCAGAGTGCTGGCGGTTTATGGCTCTTGTTTGTGTCGTTTCACAGATCAAGAGCTCTAAATGTGAGGCAGAGATCCAGACTCTGACGCTGAAGAGTTTGCTGTATCTGGAGCGCTACATGTACCTGATCCTCTTCAACACGTACCTGCACCTGGAGAAGAGAGACTCCTGGCAGCGCTCCTTCAGCGACTGGATGCTGCAGGTGAGATCAGACGTTCATCACATGCATTTACTGCAGCGTAAAAACACTGGCTGGAAACGTGTGCTTTACCCGACTGATAATCAAACAACCATACTGACCTTTCATAGTCTCACATCGGCGTAATGGTAATTAGCGTGCTTTTTCTTGCAAACAATACAGTACAAAAATGTAATTATGGTGAGTCATTCTCTCCATTATTTTGTTGCTTTTATGAAAGCCTACGTTGCAAAAGACCTTGTTGATAAATAAGTGCTTCTGAGTTCTGAGTTCATCATCATGCAGAGCAGAAGTAAACACTGCTGAAACTCTGTTGCTGTTCTGACAATATCACCAGAACTGAACAGATTCTGTTTTTTATTTTTATTTTTTATTTAATTTAGTATTTCAGTATTTTATCTGTGTGATCACTACTGCAAAAAACTCAATAACATTACATCTGTGTGGTATTTAAGGTACATTTTATATGATTTTGTCATATAAAGCCAGCAATTAGTGCTTTTTATTTTATTAGTTTATTTAATATTAATAATTTTTTATATTTATTTAATATATAATATCTAATGTAAAATAAACTAATCAACTATATAAAATAAAAGTATATAATATATAGTTTATTATGTAGTATATATTATTTAACATTTTTTATTTTGTTTTATATTTATTTAATTTTACATTTTTGTATTTTATTTTTATTTAATGTCTTATTGTCTGTATTTATTTTGTATGATATTTTGTTTTGTTTTGTTTTTTATTTTATTTATTTTTTAATTATATTTTTTGTGTTTTATTTATTTTATTTTATTTTTTTTATTAAATTGTTATTTTATTATTTTTCCTGATGGCCAGTGGACTGGTTTCACAATAAAAATAAATAAATAAATAAATGCCATGTTACAAGATTGTTTTTTTGTTGTTGTTGTTTTTTACACCTTTTCTTATTTAAACCTCAATTGCAAAAGAAGTGTTATTTCAGAGCAAATTCACATCCAAATTTGCATTAAATATTGCATTAATCGTGTTCATCTCCCTTCAGCTTCACACTTGATGTCCGTCACAAACCTCAGTGAAGTTTAATGTTACTGTAACTCAGCAGCAGATCTGAATCAGAGCTTTTCATGCGTTGTGTGCATTAGTCCAGCTGTAGCGTGAATGTTTCGCGGTGGATTCTCTTCTCCTGTGTGAATTTGTGCTTGTCGAGCTGTAGCCATCGCTTCATTTGGACGTGGCCCCTGGAATTTACAAGCTTATTCTACCGCCGCTGCTTTCACGGGGTCTCCCTGTGTGTGTGTGTGTGTGTGTGTGTGTGTGTGTGTGTGTGTGAGTGAGAGAGAGAGAGTGTGTGTGTGAGGCCTGCTGTGGCACACGGTAAAGTCTGGAATTTATTGCCATTCCAAACAAATGAGTATTTCCCCCCCTGCGTGGATTATTGCGCTTTTTCCCTGATGCTTTTCCATTCCCTTCGAGTCCTGCACTTCAGCGGCCGATGAGGAATTGAAAGAACCAGTTCTTAAACTGAGTTTTGTTTAACCCTAACTGTGATGATGTCTCTATAAACTCTTGATCTGATGGTAAAAACATGTTCAGTTGAACTAAACTAACCTGGAAGAATCGCAGATCATCTGTCCTGATTTCTCCCGTGTCTAATCAATAATCTCAGTCTGTTATTGGATTCTGGCTCCGAGCGTTGGCCGTGTCACTGATGTGATGTATAACCCAGCACGTATGAAAGGAATATTCTAGGTTAAATACAGCTTAACTCCATCGGCAAGCTGTAGATTAGCACCGGAAATCATTCGACTCGTCCCTCAGTTAATTATTTTAATAAATGACACTTAAAGTGTACGTCCGAAAGAACAGAATAATATGATTTAACACATTGCATGTTTCTAGCAGGTGCATTTTAGAAGAGTTGTGTTCATCTCTTCAATGCGTTTGAATGCATTGGCGAGTCTGGATGACTCCGATGTCTCCATCCAGAAAGAGTCGTGCTGAAATCACGGAGGCATTCTTCTGCGGCGTGTGTTTTCACAGCGATCGTTCCGACGCGTTTGTGTTTTTATACTGCAGGAATGTCTTCAATGCGGCTCATTCCACTTCAGAGATCCAGAGCCAAACGAACCCACAGCGCTTCGTTTCAAACCGGACCGACACAAGGACTTTAAACACCATTCAATGAGTTACTAAATAAAAGAGGAAAAATAATCCAGTTTTCTGTAATACTTAGATGAAAACTTGAAGATATTGCTCAGTTGTTCATGTTCTTGTACTTGGACATTACTCGTTTCGATGGCAACATTCATAACGCCAAAATAGAATCATGTGTTTATGATGACAGTAAAATCCATGACTGCTTTAATTCACCTCAAAAATTAAAATTGTATGTTCATGAAAAGTACAGAAGGTTAAGGTTTCCATACTAAACTTTCTCAAACTCAAATATTAAAAATGGGATTTAAATATATATTTTTTAATTTGTATTCTTATTTTTTATTTATATATTACATTTAATTTATGTGTTTTTAATTGAATTGAATGTTTAATTTAATTTAATTTAATTTAATTTAATTTAATTTAATTTAATTTATCTTCTAAGGCAGTCTCTTCCGGGTTGGTTGTGGATATATATATATATATATATATATATATATTAGTGCTGTCAAATGATTAATCGCATCCAAAATAAAAGTTTTTGTTTACATAATATATGTATGTGTACTGTTTATTTATTATGTATATATAAATGCACACACATACAGTATATATTGTGTATATACATGTATATATTTATAGAATTTTATTTTATATTATATATAAATACATTTAATATATAAACATATATTTCTTAAATATATACATGCATGTGTTTGTATTAATAAATATAAACAGTACAGTACACGCATGTATTATGTAAACAAAAACTTTTATTTTGGATGCGATTAATCACGATTAATCATTTGACAGCACTAATATATATAAAGTAATTTTATATAATAAAAATATGTGAAGAATAATCAAAACTATCGTAAAAGCCACTGAATTATCCATTCAGCTGCTATCCAAAGTGACTTCTAAACGGTCAACAACTCAATACGAGCTCCTAATCTGAAGGAGAATGGCATTAGAGGAGCTGAAGTAACGCGTCTGAGGAACCCACTGAGGGCCTCTCGAGTCCACATGAAAAGCTCTTGTTATCGGTCAGGGCTCAGGAGTCGAGAGCCGTCCACGCTGGAATGAGACTTCATTAGGTCTTTTTGCTGCGCCTCACATTGGCTCTTATCTGAAGAACCGAATGAAGCAAATAGTCTGAGAAGATCCACTCCACACTTACACTCACTGAACGTCATGGGCATTTACAGTCTCTCTGTCTATATATATATACAGTGGTGTGAAAAAGTGTTGGCCCCCTTCCTGATTTCTTATTTTTTTGCATGTTTGTCACACTTTAATGTTTCAGATCATCAAACTAATTTAAATATTAGTTAAAGATAACACAAGTAAACACAACATGCAGTTTTTAAATGAAGGTTTTTATTATTAAGGGAAAACAAAATCCAAAACTACATGGCCCTGTGTGAGGAAGTGTTTGCCCCCCTGTTAAAACTGTGGTTTATCACACCTGAGTTCAATTTCTCTAGCCACACCCAGGCCTGATTACTGCCACACCTGTTCGCAATCAAGAAATCTCTTAAATAGGACCTGCCTGACAAAGTGAAGTAGACTAAAAGATCCTCAAAAGCTAGACATCATGCCGAGATCCAAAGAAATTCAGAAACAAATGAGAAAAAGTAATTGAGATCTATCAGTCTGGAAAAGGTTATAAAGCCATTTCTAAAGCTTTGGGACTCCAGCGAACCACAGTGAGAGCCATTATTCACAAATGGCAAAAACATGGAACAGCGGAGAACCTTCCCAGGAGTGGCCGGCCGACCAAAACTACCCCAAGAGCACAGCGACGACTCATCCAAGAGACCCCACAACAACATCCAAAGAACTGCAGGCCTCACTTGCCCCAGTTAAGGTCAGTGTTCATGACTCCACCATAAGAAAGAGACGGGGCAAAAATGGTCTGCATGGCAGAGTGCCAAGACGAAAACCGCTGCTGAGCAAAAAGAACAAAGGCTCGTCTCAGTTTTGCCAGAAAACATCTTGATGATCCCCAAGACTTTTGGGAAAATACTCTGTGGACTGACGAGACAAAAGTTGAACTTTTTGGAAGGTGTGTGTCCCATTACGTCTGGCGTAAAAGTAACACTGCATTTCAGAAAAAGAACACAATACCAACAGTAAAATATGGTGGTGGTAGTGTGATGGCCTGGGGCTGTTTTGCTGCTTCAGGACCTGGAAGACTTGCTGTGATAAATGGAACCATGAATTCTACTGTTTACCAAAAAATCCTGAAGGAGAATGTCCGGCCATATGTTCGTGACCTCAAGCTGAAGAGAACTTGGGTTCTGCAGCAGGACAATGATCCAAAACACACCAGCAAGTCCACCTCTGAATGGCTGAAGAAAAACAAAATGAAGACTTTGGAGTGGCCTAGTCAAAGTCCTGACCTGAATCCTATTGAGATGCTGTGGCATGACCTTAAAAAAGGCAGTTCATGCTCGAAAACCCTCCAGTGCGGCTGAAATACAAAAATAAGAAATCAGGAAGGGGGCCAACACTTTTTCACACCACTGTATATGTATAAAAACTAAAATCACTGGCACTGACTAGACTACAGCCCCATTACAGCCCCAATGACTACAGCCCCATTGACTCCCTCTGCCAATGCATTGATGAAATTAACAGTTGGATGTGCGAGAACTTTCTTCAGTTAAACAAAGAAAAAAACGAAGTCATTGCATTTGGAAACAAAGATGAAGTTCTCAAGGTGAATGCATACCTTGACCGGATATATAGTTAGACAGCTAGATAAATAGATATACAGTTGGATGGATGGATACTGCAGACAGATGGACATATAGTTAGCTGGATAGATATTTAGTTGGATGGATAGACATATATAATCAGACAGATAGATAGACAGACAGACAGATGGACAGATGAATATATAGTTAGATGGATAGACAGACAGATGTGTGTGTATAATTATATATACAGTTACACAGTTAGATAAACAGATATACAGTATATTTGGATGTATAGATACTGTAGATAGATGGATATATAGTTGGATAGACCAATATATAATCAGACAGATAGATAGACACACAGACAGGGACGGACGGATGGATGGATAGACAGATGGATAGATAGGCGGACGGACGGACAGATGGATAGGCGGATATATAGTTAGATTCACAGACGGATATATATTTTGAGAGATGGATAGACAGGCGGAGGGATGGATGGATTCTGTGTGGGTTGTGATCTTGTAGTGCTGGATTTTGTGCTCTTCTCATTCTGTGGTCTTGACTGTTTTGGGCTGGTTTTACTGCTCAGTTTGGGCTGCTTGTGTCAACTGAGCCAAAGTAAACACGGCCGGCTGTGCTGCTTTATATTGTGTGTTCTTGTGTTCACGTGTGCCCGCTCGTTCACCCCGTCATGTCCAGATGTCACCAGCTCAAAGCCTCTCAGGAGCCAAGAACCGCTCGGGCACTGCTACAGATTCCCGAGTCAGAATATGGACTGAACGGGTCACGTCACACACAAAGACCGGAATGAGGAATGAAGCACAATCCTGTCCAGTACTGAATGAACTTTCTCTGAATTGTGTGTCTGTGTGTTTTGTGTTCAGGTGGCGGCTCAGGCTGGAGTTTATGAGCTGTTGAATCAGTTGGGCTTCTCTGAGTTTGAGGACCTGAGAGACTCAACCCTCTGTCGTCTCCGTCACCGTTGGCAACAGCAGATCCGCCACGGGCTTCCGTTCAGAGGAGAATTCATCTGAGAAACGCTCGTGGAATTATGAAATATACTCTGTTCATTTGCAGGATGTCCACCTGTTTTTGAACAATAGTTGAAGTGTAAAGGACTAGATCTTAAACCCACTGTGAGGAACTTTAATGAGAACACAAGATGAGGATGTTGCATGAAGCTCTCACCTGTGCATGCTCGTTTGTTAATGTCTTTCTGTGCAGGTCTCTTACATCTATAATTAACCTATTTTTAATTTAACAGGACTCTTTTTATGTCCATTTAGCTTTAGGTGATTATTTGTCGTGCGTTTGCTTGTATAGTTTATTCACTCGGTTCCTTTTTTTAACATTTGAAGGCTGCAGGAACTGTGATGTTTGTTTTATAAATGAGCGTTTTTCATGATGAAGACTTTCATAATGGCGGTCTCCATTAAAAATCTTTTGTAACAGGAATGTGTTCGTTTATTTGACTGCTGAACCTGTGACTAATATATTTTTTAATAGGAGCTTGAAGGAAAAACATTAACTGAAATACAATATAGCTTATTTTATTCAGCTAGATGAAAAGACAATTTAAAAAATAAACTAAAAATAAAACTAAAATGTAATAATAAAAAATGATATGTATACATGCATTTAAAATAAATAATAAAAATGACAAAAACACAAAATGAAATTAAAACACAAAAATATATATAAAAAAATTATCATTCAAAGTGTCAACAAAAGCTATAAGATATAATTAGCAGTGATACTCAAAACAAAAACAAAAAAACAGACTAGTGTGCTATTCCAAATGTATCCATTCTCACTTTTCATATCAAATTATGCCTTTTTTAAATCTTCAATCATTCTGCATCTTTCTGCTCCATTTTAGATAAATTATATTAAAATTACATTATAATATAATATATTATTCATGTAACTTGAGTAAAGAAGTGTAGTTGGCAGCAGGAAGCATCTATACTAGTATGCACATGTATCAATCTGGGTCTTTGCACATAAACAGCTATAACCTATTCCTTGAAGCGTTTGGCATCTGGAGTCGTCCTGCTGTGTTCTGGGTAGGATTAGACTCTCGTTAGAGGGGCTTCAGAGGCTTGTGGTTTTTAATTGTCTGTGTAAAAGTGGAAGAGACGAGCCGAGCGCTCCTGGCCTGAAAGGGGGGTATTTTCGGTGATGTCATCGTGTGGTTGAGCCTGAATTCTACACAGAGACAAAACACACGACTCGAAGCGAAATACACTTTAGCAAAACGCAAAGGCAACATGCTGAAATATAAATGACTATCAATGCACTGGTGAATTGATCAAGTCAAGTCAATCCTCACCCAGTACTAGTGATAAATAATAAAGCAATCAAGTAGCATTCTATCAGTGTCTCAGCAATGGATGCTCAGCAGTGAATGGGTGCCGTCAGAATGAGAGTCCAAACAGCTGATAAAAACATCACAATAATCCACAGCACTCCAGTCCATCAGTTAACATCTGGAGAAGACAAAAGCTGAAACTAATCCAGCATTAATTGATCTGAAAACAAAATCCATCAAGATGTTTTTAACTCAAATACGAGTCCATAATAACTCTTCCTCCAGTGAAAAAGTGCATCTGCTGTTGTCTCTCACATCAAAATCCAGCCACATATTAGTTTAGAGCTGTTTAAACGCTGCTTGATCTGTGCAGATTTCTCTCCTGACTCAGACCAGAACACTTTTTCACTGGAGGAAGAGTTATTATGAATTATGGACTCGTATTGTAGTTAAAACATCTTAATGCTGGATGTGTTTCAGCTTTTGTCTTCTCCAGATGTTAACTGATGGACTGGAGTGCTTGAGGATTATTGTGATGTTTTTATCAGCTGTTTGGACTCTCATTCTGACGGCACCCATTCACTGCAGAGCACACTGATGCAATGTTACATTTCTCCAAATCTGATGAAGAAACAAACTCATCTTCATCTTGGATGGCCTGAGGGTGAGCACATTTTCAGAAAATATTCAGTTTTGAGTAAACTATTCCATTAATAAAATATAATCAAATGTCATTTTCACCTGCTGGATCATAAAACAGGTGACATATACATCAAAAGAGGGCAGAAGATCACAGAGACTCTCCTCACTTAACATAATGCAAGAAACAACCTGGCAACCACACAACATCACGGCAGGTAAGCACCACTTTCTTCAGAAACATCTCAAGTTCAATCTTGCAATCTTTGACAAAACATTGCCACTCAATTGTCACTTATTTTGTGCATGCTCATCCTGCTGTCTCAGAGACAAATGTGATTTCTCAAGACGCCTGATATCTGCCTGGTAGCAACATTTCTTGCATGAAAAAAAGTATTGCTTACAGTAACTCGCTGACATAAAGGATGTGCTTTTTTTGTCCTGTGGTTTCAGAGGAAGTCCTGCTGCCATGCAAACATGAGACTAATGTCTGTGAGACGTGCCGGCGGGTTCTGCTGCAGCTTCGAGGTTTGTAAATATTTGCTGATACACATAAAGTCATGTAAACATGTTCAGAGCGGTTTAGATGAGGATGTGCTGATTCAGCCAATGACAAAACTGGTGTTCTAGATCAATGCTTCTCAACTGGTGAAGAGCAGGAGAACAATGCAAATGATTCAGTGCAATAAACCATGTAATCGTGGAGTTAGAACAGCTAAATAAACACTTTTAAAAAGGGAGAAAAAACACTTTTTTGTTGCTGGTGTCAAAGGTCATGTGTCAAACTCTATAGTTTTGTTTGCATTTGCACAATCATTTTGGAATTGCTTTAAGTCCTGAAGCCAGATGAGAACTGCTTTATAAAATCATATCTATCTATCACTCTAAAATCTTCTGGGTTCAAAACAACCCAGTGCTGGGTGAAATATGAACAAACCCAGAGATTGGGTTGTTTTGTTGTTTAATTGTTTAATCCAACCTTCTGGTTTGTTATATTTAACTCCACTATTGTTTCAAAATTACTATATGACTGGCTTAAACTGAACCCAAAATAGGTTGTAAATTAAAAGTCAGACACATAATTACTAGAGGCAGCAACGATCAAAAAGTGAACATTTAAGCAATTAAATTTTTTTTTTTATTATTTATTGAACATATTAATAAATGCTAATTTTCAACCTATTTTGGGTACATTTTAAACAAGAAATATAGTCATTTGTAAGCAAAAGTTGAGTTGAATAAAACTACCCAGAAGGCTGCCCAGCATCTTTAGAGTGTATCTATATGTACTGTATGTATGCATATATATATATATACTATTATTTTTCATAGTTTAAGTTTTACTAACTACAACAGTTCTGATGCTAAAACTCAATTCTAAAATTCTAAAATGTGTATTAGTGCTGATTCCTCAGTAAGTTTCCCGTCCTGCACTGAGGAGCTCAGGAGGAAAACACATCTCTCCTTCTCCTCCACACGCTTTGAAATACTGATACTCCAGATCTCTGCTTGCTCTCAGGCTTATCTGCAGGTACGGAAGTTGTTCGGAGCTTTATCACATCGTGAGCCTCTTAGATGAATGAAAATGAAACCAGAGAGCAGCAGATTTGCTGAGTTTCGGTGCCAGACGCTGCAGAGGAGAGTCTAGTCTGGCTGAAGTTCAGCAGAAGCTTGTTTTGCAGCTCTTTCACTAGAATTGGGATGGCAAATGTTACTTTCACACCAAGAACGATAAGCATTCAAGTCTGTTAATACAATCAAACCAAAAATTATTCAGACACCAGATATTTGATATTTATATATATATATTTTTTTTATTTTTTTATATATTTTTTTACTAGTTGGGTGCAGGACACTAAAGTTAATTTATGTAAGTGTGTATAGCTAAATAAACTGACATATTATACCCAAAAATTCTTCATACAGCGGACCACCAGTAAAATTAATAAAAATTTGCGACCAAAAATTATTCAGACACTTTGACCTGAGCATGTTTTGCTTAAGTGTTTTTTTCTTTAATTGCTAATGCGAACTTTTTACACCACACACTGAACAAAATGAAGCATTGCTTGGTGATTGGTTGAGCTAAATTAGTTTTATCTAATTGTGTACTTGAGTTTAACAGCTGACAGCTATTCAACCGAATTCATTACATACCTTCCTATCAAAGTTATCTGACATTATCAAGATGAATTTGTTCTGACGCAGTTTAAAGGGTTAGTTCACCCAAAAATGAAAATTAGCCCACAAATTACTCACCCTCAAGTCATCCTATGACTTTCTTCTTTCGGACGAGTTGGAGTTAAATTAAAAATGGTTCTGGCTATTCCAAGCTCTATCATTGCAGTCAGCGGGTGTTGCATGCATCAGTCCAAAAGAAGTTAAATAAAAAGCGCCCATCCATAAAAAAGTGTCTCACACGGCTCCAGGGGGTGAACAAAGGCCTCCTGTAGCGAATCAATGCGTTTTTGTAAGCATACGTCTTGCTGAGAGGCTGATCTCCAGTCTTTTATCCTTCTAATAACTAACGTGTTCCTCTAAGGCTGATGATACACGGGGCAATCTTTGGCCAATGTTGCCGTGAACGGGCAACCAGGTGAGACACAGGGCCCACGACCGATCTGAAGTATCCAGATAGAAATCTGTTACCCATTCTCAATGGGAAAGTGCCCAAGAACATCGCTCAAAAAAAGTTGCCGTGTGTATCATAAGCTTAATATGTTTCAGGAAGGAGTAAATGTGCAGTAGTGCGGCCTACTGTATCTGACTGCATCTGCAGATAAGCTCTTCTGAGAGCCGCTGTGGACGCTTTGAAATGCCTTCCAGATCCTCTGAGATCCTTTCGGAGCTGAAACCGGAGCCGGCGCTTTAGAGAGACGTGAAGAAGAGGCCAAACAAAGAGCTGCATTGAGAGCTGCACTCCACGCTTCCGCTTGCAGACGACGAGGGCTAAACCTTCTGCGCTGCTAATTAAAGCTTCAGCTGTCACACTTTGACATCAGAGAACTATATTCATCGAGTACCAACACAGATCATCTCTGGCTTTAATTGATCCCACTATAAAAATACTTGATATGTTATGTAGGAACACAAAGGCTCACTTACAGCACCGGCGATCTGCCACTTATTAGTGAAACTTGAAAGGTCAGTGTCACTTTAGCTTCATTAGCATAATGCATTTACATAGTTATGATGTCATGAGTCATTTTCAGGAAATAGAGCCGCTTGCGCGCCTAACTCTTTATAATTAACTTGAACTTACATTATTTGATAGATTTAGCTGCACATAGTATAATAAAATGTTTATGTAATTCAAATAAAAAAATACATTTATTAAGAATTTCATAAAAAATAAACATAAAGCTATTGAGCTATGGCTGATCCATGTTTATAGTTTACACATATCAAAACTAAAATCAGGATTAATAAATAATATTTGATCATCATGTATTGTGTGTCTGTATTTGTGTATAGTTTTACTAATGGTGCTGTAATTTG